GCAGGAATTTATGAAAAACAAACCCGATCTCCCCCTTTGACCAAGTAACTATGCAGTGGAGTGGACATTTTTTTTAAGAGTCAGACAAGGAGAAGCTGTGGGAGCTGGGCACGCACAGCTTCTGGGAAAGGCACTGACAAGGGGCCATGATAAGTGTTCAAATACTTGAAGGGCTGCCAGAGGACTGAAAACCCCTTCTCTCTCTCGCTGCAGGAGGGCATAGACCAATGGCTTGAAGCAGCAAAGTAGGCTTAGAGTGAACGTCAAGAAACACTTCCCCTTGAAAGCAGAGGCAGGGGAAGACTCCCAGGGGACTTGTGGACTTGGTGTTCAAGAGGTTGGCAACCAGTGGTTGGGGATGATCTAGGCATAGTTCCTAGGCTTTACTGGCTACTGCCTGGAGCCCAACTCCTTTACACCTTGGTCACTGATTCCACACTCTGTAAAAAGCAGATTAAGGTATTTATTGGCATTAAAACACTGTACACTGTTCTTGTGCTGGCATCACCACCTTCACCGGATGCCTTGGTGGATGATGCTGCTCTTGGCACTTCCTGCCTTCTCCTTTTCCTTCTTCTTCACAGGGTCCATCTCAAAGCAGCGCCAGAGCCGCAGCGTCTCATCTGCAGATGCGGACGCCACCATAGAGCCGTCTGGGCTCATGGTTAGGTTCAGTACTCTGGCTGTGTGGCCTGGGAGGAGCAGCATGGTCAGGGATCCACTCGCCCAGGACCCAGCTTAAGCCTCTGCCTATGGCCAAACCCCCCTGCCTCCCAGGTCTGTCTGCCCCACCCACGTGGGGGCAGGCTGTGTCCCAGCTGTCTGCACAGCTGGCTCTACAGCAGCACTCGGGTCCACCTCTACTCCCGTGGAGACCTGGGCCCTGGCATAGGCCAGGCCTTCCCTGTGCCCCAGGGTCCTGGCTCCAGCCAGGGCTGCTGCTTACCTTTTAGCTCCGTGACCTTGGCCATGGTAGGGTATTTCCACACCACCAGCTGGTTCTGGGCAAAGCCGTGGCCAGATATGAACTCCTTGTAGTTAGTCGACCACAGGATGGCACAGACCTGGGGGAGGCAGAGCATGGCAGGTGGCACAGGAGTCAGGAGGGACAGGCAAGATGCGTGGCCAGGTGTCTGCAGTCCCTAAGCGCAATTAGGCAGCTACTTATGCTATGAAAAGGCCTGGTCAACCCATGCCTTGGGGGTACTACTGGTCATCAGCTGGTCCACGAGGGGCCAGCAGGGGAGACTATGCTTAGGGGCAACTAACATGGGTTCATTCGAGGCAGGTCCTGTCACACCAACCTGGTGCCCTTCTATGACCAGAACACCGAATCCCTGGACGCAGGTGTCGCGGTGGATGTAGTCTTTCTGGACTTCAGGAAGGCCTTTGACACCATCTCCCACCCCATTCTCATTAAAAAACTAGGAGACTGTGGTGTCGACATCTACACAGTCGGAGATGGGTTGCTAACTGGCTGGAGGGCTGCACCCAGAGAGCGGTGGTGGATGGGTCCTATTCGACCTGGAGGGATGTGGGCAGTGGGGTCCCCCAGGGCTCAGTCCTTGGGCCCGCACTGTTCAACATCCTCATCAGCGACTTGGACGGAGGGGGTAAAAAGCACCCTGTTCAAATTTGCAGATGACACCAAGATGTGGGGGGGAAGGAAGGAATAGGCTGCAAATTGGACCTAGACAGGTTACAGGGGCAGGCAGATGAGAACAGGATGGGTTTCAACACTGACAAGTGCAGGGTGCTGCACCTGGGGAGGAAGAACCAGCAGCAGACCTACAGGCTGGGGAACTCCCTTCTCGTCAGTGCAGAGGCAGAAAAGGATCATAATGATGCTAAAATGAACATGGGCCGACAGTGTGGGGACGCGGTCAGGAAGGCCAACCGCACCTTGTCGTGCATCCACAGATGCATCTCGAGCAGGGCCTAGGAGGTGATCCTCCCCCTCTATGCGGCACTGGTCAAGTCACAGCTGGAGTACTGCGTCTAGTTCGGGGCGCCGCACTTCAGGAGGGATGTGGACAGCATGGAGAGGGTCCAGAGGAGGGCCACTCACATGATCAGGGACAGCAGGGCAGGCCCTACGAGGAGAGGCGACGGGACCTGAACCTGTTCAGCCTCCACAAGAGAAGGCTGAAGGGGGAATCTAGTGGCCGTTTACAAACTGGTCAGAGGGGACCAGCAGGCATTGGGGGAGTCCCTGTTCCCCCAAGCACTACCGAGAGTGACTAGAAATAAATGGTCACAAGTTGGCAGAGGGTAGATTCAGACTAGACATCAGGAGGCGCTACTCCACAGTCAGGGTGGCTAGGACCTGGAACCAACTTCCAAGAGAAGTGGTGCTGGCTAGGAGGCTCGATGAACACCTGGCCGGAGTCATTTGACCCCAGTATTCTTTCCTGCCCATGGCAGGAGGTCGGACTTGATGATCTGCTCAAGTCCCTTCCGACTCTACCAACTATGAAACGATGAAAGCTGGGCCCAGGAAGAACTCCCCCACTGCCCTGTGAATGCTACTGACTTCTGGGTGGGGGAGCAGGGTTGGCTCCCTTCCTCAGGCTGTGCCAATGCTCTTGCTGTTACGTGGGAGGCAGGGGACCCTGGCTAGAGGGTCTTGCTGTGCCACTTCCAGTGAGGGAGACAGCTGAATTGCAGGTCAGAAAGGAATCCCTGCACCCCACAGCCAGACCGGCACAGGAGTGCCCTAGCTTGGTACACAGTCCTTTTCCCAGGATCACCTGAGCACAAGACCCAGCCACCTGCTTGCTGTTGTGGGGCAGGATGGCGGCATGTTTTACCTATGGCAGGCTGAGGGTTTGGAGCCAATGTTGGGAGCCCATTATCTAGCAATGGCTGCCTCTGTTCCCTCCCACCCTGCTCCTCTGGGAGCCGTGCTGGGCTTTACCTGGGAATGGGCATCGACCGTGTTGAGACAGGTGCCTGAGCACACGTTCCAAATGCGGATGTGCCGGTCGCTGGTGCCGCCTCCAGTGGCCAGGACGTTGGACTGCCAGGGGCACCAGGCCACCGCCTGCCAGAAGAGATGCATGACAGTTAGGACATAGAGGCAGCAGCAGCTATGTCCAGCAGCTCAAGCTTCATGCCCACAAGGCAGCCCTTGCTGCACCATCTGCAGGGAGGCAACAGCAGTGCTGCAGCTCTGCCACACACACCCAGGCACCCCCAGGAGCTGTGTACTCACCTTGACAGCACCCTGGTGCTGCGTGAAGGTCTGTACTGGAGCAAAGTCCCCGCTGTCACCTTGGGTGCAAGGCCAGATGTTCACAAGGTTGTCATTGCCCCCGCTGGCTAGGTACCGGCCATCCAGTGACCACTTGAGCCCACACACCTCTTGTGTGTGGCCGGCGAGCGTGGCCACGTGGTGCTCGGCCACCCGGACGTCATGGTGATGGATGTGCCCAGTCCTCGCCCCACTGCAGAGGGAAGGCTGTAGTCAGGCTGCTGCTTGCTGGTAGGGGCTGTGCCCAAGGGCCCCTGTAGAGACCCTGGCCTAGGCAGGCATGTTAGCCCACGTGCCACAGGGTCAGCTGCAGCTGCCAGAGCTGACACGAGTCTTGACCCATGTGCCCACCACGGCATGGGCATCTCTATGATCACCTGGAGCAGGCTCTGCCCTCCCACACCTTGGGTCATGCCCCACCTGGAGAGGATGTAGCTGTTCCAGCTCAGGGAGCCTACGCGGGAGGAATGGCTGGTCATGTTGCGAAGCCGCTTCTGCTGCTGTATGTCCCACAGCTGGAGAAGGAAAGCAGCTGTTATCTGCCATGGATTGGCACACCAGGGCATTCTAGGCTTTCTGACCTGGGGCCCCTCACTCTGAAGGCCATGGAGCTGGGAACACGTCCTTGCTGCCCATGAGATCATTGGTAACTAACCAGGTTTAGCCCAAACAGTCAGGTGCCGGCACTTACAGCCTGTGCAGAGACTCAAGAAGACTGCAGGTATTTGCCCCTGCAGGAAAGGTGGCAGCAGGGATCTGTAGGGGCAACCTCCAGGGGAGTATAGGTGGCCAGGCGTTTCCCAGACAGCCACCCAGCCCCTCATTGAGTAGGAGGTGGCAGGGGCAGACAGCCCTTCGGTATGGGGCAGCTGTGTTCTTGTCACCTGGAAGGAGTGCTATGACTTGTGAGCTGAGGGGCCAAGGACTGACGTTACAGGGTCAGAGGGACCCAAACCCCTGACCCTGCACCTCCCTCCAGGATCCCTTTAGCCATGAGCCCCAGGTCTAAAGGAAGTGCAGCAGGGCTCCAAAGACCCCTTAGAAGTAGATAGAGGAAATGCACCCCCGCCACAAGGAGATGCTGCCTTTGACTTGGGTCCTATGCAGTACTGGGCCCACCCCAGCACTCCTCCAGCCGCTCAGCACCGAGCTCTGGGCAGGCCAAGCAGCACATGCCCAAAGCAGCAGTGTTATCCCTGGGCAAGAGCATCCGCTGCAGCAGCCTCTCCCCCTCACCTGGACCTCAGCATTGCTTGTGCCAATGGCCAGGTAGTTTCCTTCTTTGATCCAGGACACAGCAGAGACGTAATCATCGGGATTCTCCATCTGAAGCAGCTGGATGATCTCCCCAGAGGCATAATTCCAGAGGTACACAGAGTTGTCCAGAGCCACAGCCAGGAAGTTCTGGGAGCTCCAGTCAATGAGGTTCAGATCTGTAGTTAAGGGAGACCACACGAGTTCCTCAGGGAGCCCTGCCCATTGCAGCAGCATGGCAATACCCTGCTGCTCACCCCTCACTGCTGGGCCAGAACCCCTCTGCACTGCAGCTAGGTATGGCCAGGCAGTTGTGAGCACAGCACTGAAGTCTCTGGTCTCAGGGCTGCTGAACGACACCCTGGATATCCCTGTGCCCCAGCAGTGGTGGCGGGGCATTGCTCAGCAAGCCATCCAGCATCTGCTGGCTCCGTCTTTTCAGTGTGTCACTGCCACAACAGACACTGAGCAGCATTGCTCCCCCAACACTGATAACAGGCACCTTCTGCTTGCTCCCATGCAGCCCCACCTGCTGCAGGGAAAGGCCACCAGTCTGGAAGGGCTGTGTTAGGGTCCCCCTGTGCTGGCTCTGGGCCATGCCTTAGGCTCCCTGGCCACAGCGGCTGCCCCTCCCTCTGGGAAAGGAGCTGCACATAGATTCGCCCACCCGCAGAGACGGGGATGCCAAAGGAAGCGCCTGGGATTCTGCCCGCCAGGCTACAGGAGAGGGCAGAAGCTGCTAGCATGGGTGCCCAGAGCATGCTCGGTCTGCAACAGCCAGCACACCCGGAAGGAGCATTTGGAGGCAGGGTAGGGGACAGAGTAGGTGCTGGGAGTGGGAGCTGTCCCCTGAGCAGGGAAAGGGGACAGGGCTACACTGCCCAGGAATAGGCAGGAATCCATAATTTGGCATGCCCAATACCAAGGCCCGAAACCAGCACTCCCTCTGCGGTAGCCCTGGCAGGCTGGTCCCTAGCCGCATGGTTGGTCGCTAGCGGGCAGTGGGGAAGGATGGTCAGAGAGCAGAGGCCCCGTTAGGAGCCTGCGCAGATCACAAGACATGGAAATACCAGGTGGCGGCGAGACCCAGGACCTGGTGAGGGGCTCTGCTCTCACCACCCCTGGCCAACTGCAGAAGGTGGTGCCCAAGGTGCTGCAGGAACTGTTAGGCCTGGTCTCATTTAGCCTCTTTGGAAGGCAAGGAAGAAGCCAACACCACCTCCCTGGAGCCCCCTGGGAAAGCCTGCTTACAGTAGTCGTTGCGGATCTCTGGTGCATCCAGGATCCGGTCCGGCATGGAGGGAATGTATCTGCCATTCTTCCTGCTAGAGCCAGGTGTTGCTTTCTGGCTGTAGAGCACTTTCAGGTTATTCTGGTAGCCTGCACCAGGGAGAGAGCCACAGTTACTCAGCAGGCAGGAACTTCCCTTCCATCCTCACCGGGCACAGGCACTCTGCCACAGAATGCAGGGCCCAAGGGCAACACTGCTTTCCTGTTGCTGGGATGTTATTATTTTGCCACGCTCAAGCCCACACCCAAGTCACAAGATTGCACAGCCATCTTCATAGCCTGGAGCCTCCAGCAACTTGAGGGCAACTCTGCTTGTGCTGCAAACTGCAGAGCCAAGCTGAGCAGTACTTGCATGAGGCCAAGATGCGGAGCTGCCTGCACGTCTCCAGCCAGAAGAGGGAAGGCAGGAAGGGTTCCAGCGTTACTGGTGCTCACCCTGGAGCAGCTCGGGGATGGGAAAGGGCCCAGGGAGCCCGTTGGGGTCGTTACGTTACAGTGCCCTCTGCTCCAGCCTCAGATTCCCCGTGCCTACCTTCTGGGGCATTCTGAGGCTTCCCACTCAGGCGGAGGATCTTTGCCTCTTCCACATCGAACCCGTTCAGATTCACTGCCCAGGTCTTCTGCTGCTCCTGGAGACACAGACATCCAGGTCCATTGTCAGCAAGACCCAACTTTGCCCAGCGCCTTGGAGGAAAGGAGGACGCAACAGGCCCCACCACAGGCATTGCATGCTGCCCTGTGGGGAAGAGCCGCACACAGGCAGCTCCCAGACAGGGCTGCACACGGACCCCCCAGCCAGCCCTGGGAGCTGGGCAGGACACTTCATGCTGTAGCAGCTGCCCCTCAGTCTGGGCGGGTCCCGTTTGTGGTGGGGAAGCCACAGCAACAAGGAACAGCGTGGGGAGCACGTCTGAGCTGCTGTGGCCATGCCCGCGCAGCTCCCCACACTACTGCTCGCACTGGGACGGCTGCTCCCAAGGAGGTCGCGGGCAGAGGAGCCCTCCGAGCCTGGCGCAGGGAAGCGCCACGTCTGCAAGGCTCGCGTGGCCGTGTCTTGCGGCCAAAGGCGGCGCCAAGCAGCGCAGGGTCCAAGCCCCACCCAGCAAGGCCACGCTTGCGGGGCTCCTTCCAGCACGGTCGTGCGAGCAGCCACCCCGCGAGGCAGGGGCCAGGTGCTGGCGCGGCGCCGCTCACCTTCTTGGTGGGAGTGTCCTCGGAGTCGTCGTTCTCCTTGGTCAGGAGGAAGTTGGCCACCTCCATCTGCATGGCGCTGCGCTGGGGGATGTAGCGGTCCCCGCCAGCCTTGCCCGGGGTGCTCTGCGTCTTGGACGCGGATTTACCTGCATCGAGCGCGAGAGCTGCGTCTAGCTGGCGGCGACCGAGGGCGCGCTCCCTCGGCACGGAGCCGGGAGCCTCTGGGCCAAGGCGTGCGCGGCGCCCCGCTCAGGCGGGATCGGCCCCCGCCAAGCTGCTCCACGCGGGCCTTGGCCTGACCCGGCCCGGCTGCCCGTCGGAGGAGGCCAAACGCGCCCGGCCGGAAACGGGTGCTCCTCAGCTCGCCCCAGCCGAGGCGGGGGCCGACCGGGGCCGGCTGC